AAAAAACGTAAACAACCTTAGCCCGTTATTATAAGTCTTGTTACTAATATGCTTGCAGGCCTGTACTAAAGCTAGATGTATTAGTGCTGATGTCCGTAAAAGGCTCTGTAGGATTTCCTCTTTTCATCGCTGCAGGAAGAACTGCTACTTACAGGTAGGGCTTTATCATTCCAGCTCCTATTTCTGCGAGATGCTAAGCTGCGATCGACCGGTAGACCTTAGAAGGAGTTGCGCATGAAAGACTGAAATAGTTTGAGCGGACTATCATTTTAGCAAGCCACAGAGTAAGAAAGCGGTTTTACAAATACACGCGGAAAGATTTCAACAACTTTAAAGTTTGAAGCACAGACTGGTTTACGATTACATTGTTTGCAACTTGCAGCTGAAATGTGATCATAATCGCTGACATAAGGAAGGATTAGATATGAAAAGTTTTATATGAACTGTTTGGTAGACAGTACTCCGCAAGTTTGCTGACTCAAGCAACCAAGTTTTCGAGCAGCGCAAGATACATAAGCATAACTACTGAAACAGCAGTACATGTCTTATTTCTAAATGCTCAAGCAGCGTGAAGCAGCTTATCTTAGGTACTGTGTCATGCAGCTTGTTGGACCTGACCTCGGCAAACTTAGGAGAAGCCTCGTTGATAAAAGGTTTTACCCTATCTCCTTGACGCGGACAAGCTCATATCAAATACCTTCCTCCAGGTTTTCGGTGCCAACTGCTTTGAGGGTTCTTCAGCAAACTCTACGACGTTTGGAAGTGTTACACGATGCTGGATGGCTGTGCCGGTACGACGAATTATCACTTGTCGAAAACAAATAACCACACTCAGGGACGTGAAAGCTCCAAATTTCGCCATAGGCTTGGGAAATGAGAGCAGCGTAATCTACATGCTTGACTTCGGATTTGCTAGGAAATATAAGTGAGAAGTCTATTAATTACTTTGAAAAGACAGAGACACTTCCATTTCAGGGAAGCAAACGGTGAAATCATACCTCCACGGCAAGCGGCTGCATTATTAGGGACCTTTCAGGTAGTATCTCTCTCTCTTATTGGAAAAAGCAAATGTTTGGCGTTTTAGTACACTCCTCTTGCCAGCCATGATCACAAAGATCAAGCGCCAAAGGATGACCTAGAGAGTTGGTTCTACATGGCAGCAGAATTACTAAAAGGTTAGGCATTACATTAGGTTAGCTTACATTCAAAGAAAGCGGCGCTGACGTATTTTCTTTGTAGGACCTCTGCCGTGGTGCAAAATAGATGGGCACAAAGAACACCTAGCAATTGCCGAGCAGAAGAAGTTGATACGAAAGGAACGCCGAGCAGAGTTTATGGAAGGGATGCCGCGGGAATTCGACAATATTCTGACGATGATTGATAATATGAAGTAAGCAATAATATAATGGATACTTCAAGAAAGGACTTCTTAAACGAATGTATATCTAGATTCTTTGATCGGCCACCTTACGACACTTTTCAAGCCATGATAGATCAAGCAGCGGAAAAACTTGGAATTACTCTGCATGAACCATTTGATTGGCAGGTGGATCCGCAGTCGTGATAGTCTAGGATATTTTCCATTTACCGAAAATTTACAGAGCAATGCTCGTGTACTGAGAAAAGCAGAATTTGTTGGTGAACTCGGGGAATCAAATCTGGCTTCGTTAAAAATGGAAGAAGAAGAAGGAGAAGAAAGTGAATCTTTAGACGTTACACCTTCGACGATGGAAATTAAGACTTAATTAAAAATTGCTTATTGGATTTTCATGTTTTCTAGGCTCGCACTCGATAAAAGGGAGCTATTCCTATAACGACAGTCTCGAAAGATCCTGCTACATAGAAAACATAATAAAGCTTTAGAGTTTT